TAGTTATCCCAAATCCCTCTTCCCCCTGCTTCATTTGCCCCAGACACTGTTTTATCAGCATCTCCATTGCTCCATTTTACCTCCTTTGTGCAGACAGGGATGCGGACTGCAGAGGAGGAAACACGCAGACCTGTAGTGATTGCAGGATCCCCATCCCAGCCTGGCCCACACGTCACAGCAGCCTCCCCCTGGCAGTGGACTGGAAGTGGGTAAATCAGGAAGGAGCCAGACTGCAAAATGAGAAGGAGAAATAGCAGATTTAGAAAGCTCTTCCCAAGCCTGTCTCCCATCACTAGCCCTTGGAGTTTTCCCCACATCCCAAACATAGAGACATGTACTGGGATCTCGAAAACTCCTATTACACTAAGGGTTTCTCATGGTTTTTTGAGTTAGGATTTGATAAATCTCAGTGCCTCCTCAGAAACTTTCTAACATGGAGTATCTCCAGTGCTGGATTCAGGGGGTCTTGTCAGCAACCCATGAATTTTCATTTCCGCATGTTGAAGCTAGTGGTTGGATTCACAAACACACACACACACACACACACACACACACACTTAAACATAGTAGCCCTAAATGTCTTATCAATTCATAGCTTTGGAAGTTATTTCCAAAGGTATTTTCATATGGTTATTATGATTATCAACTCTAATAAATACAGTGTACCTCTCCAAGTCCAAATTCCCTAACATCAAATGGTTAAGGTAGAAAGAATGCTTCTTTTCATTTAAATAACAACGAAAACTGAAAATCAACCCCAAAAGCAAATGTTCCAAGAGATTTCTAGGTGGCAGGTGTTATTAAATTTTTACATGCATTACATCGTATAATCCTCACATTTAATAATTCTATTAAAATCCCTTTTACAAGGGAGGAAATTAAATTTCAGACAGCTTAGACAAGTTGTCTAAGATTATATTGGTGGAAGTGACAAAAGCCAGAGATGAGACTGTCAGTTCTTTTTTGCCTTTTGCCTGGTCTTTGCATGGGTTCTAGGCATTCTAGGTCCAGATTATGTTTCTTAATATTTATAGGGGATACCATTCACTCAAAATACCCTAAATACAGTTCTGTTTTTTAAGGCCATGCAATCTACCAACTTCCCAGTAGAATAATAATTTCTCTGAAATCAAATTAGTAAATGAAAATAATCATTGTATATTTGAATATCTGTCAAGTTCAGGGAGTAATTTTGGAATTTCTGGTGCAATCCCTGGTAGATCTTTAACATGGTATCTGGAGTGGCTCATACAGGCAGAATAAGCAGAATAAAAGGCAGTTCTCCTTATAGCCAATGTCATTTTAGAAAGAGATCATAGCATAAAGTTGGAATGTATGAAAGGGGATTACTTGCAACAAGTTGTGTGGTGGAGATGTTTCTAAAATCATGCCATAGCCTTCTTCCAAGGCTCATTTATTTCTCACAGCAATATACATTCCTGGTATTAAACTGGAGTGTAACCATGAGAGTGAAATCTTAGCTGTCTTATATTGAATATCTTATTATCCGAGCTTAAGAGTGCTAGGTGTATAAGAACTCAAAAATGTAAAACTAGTAAGTGTTAATAATTCCAGAACCTGTGCTCTATAAATTTTTTATTTAATGAAAACAGTGCTGATATTTAATTACAAATACCAACTGAAAGTAGATAGAACCCAAGTTGGGTGCTGCATTATTATCTGGAATTCCAGCTCACTGAGATATACTCTCAGAGCCTATAAATATTAGAGTAAATAGGAATCTTTTAAACTATCATTTCTAATGATTTAGAGAGAAACATGTACACAATTTTTTTTCTGATTGTTATACCTCCACAATTTAAGCTTTAGAAAATGAGTCTACAGCTCATCAGCCAAAACTCGAGCCAAGATAATTTGGCTATCTATAAGAGGTATACACAAGATAATTGAAACAAGATAAAAGATAATTGAAAAGGGATGTTCAACAATATCAAGGTTGGAATTTGACTTCCAAAATGGGAAAAAAGGCGATTCTAAGTGTCCACTATTTATGTTGTGTATATTAAAATGGTTTAGACCATGAAGAGTCTCAGATTAAAAAAAGAAAAAGCAGATCATATGTGAGATATGGAAGATTTTTGCTCTTCCATAGCAATGTGCTAATTTACCTAACATACTGAAATAATAACTATCTTTTGGAGGTCACCTGTTCTAAACTCAAAGTTAAAATTCCAGAATCAATCTTTGGAGAACTATTTGAGACAAATGTTAAGAGCCATAGGTAAAATTTACCTTCATGGAGGATATTCTTTTATTTAGACCTCCAAACAAGAATGGGATATAAAATGTATTCATGTCAGAAATGTTGATGTTGGAGTATTAAAATGAGAAAAGTAAAACTGGACAGCCGAGTCAACTTACTTAGGATTTTAGCAGAAGAGACCAAAGACCCAGAATTTAACAGCAAAATTATTGTTTGTAAATTCTGCATTACAAGAATGAAAAAGGGGCATGTTCATTGGCCAGTAGCTGGGGACTACCCCACCCCAGTTCTTTACTCATCAGAATTCCAGGTTTTCTTTTTACATGAGTCAAGACTGCCTTTTCCCAAGAGAACTGCCTTGTGAACATTGGTTGGGATGGATCCTCATGATGTTCCGTGAGGGAAGATGGGACTGGGAAACTCCCAATGAAGAGGAAGGTAGACTTTGCCCTAGTGGAAAATTTTCCAAAGCCTCAAAGAACATTTGGTACATGAGGGATTCAGGTTTACCCATAACACACTTAACACATTTAAAATCTATAAATCCAGGGGAATAAAACATTGTAGACCTTTAATAAGTCATACCGATTGTATGGGGGTGGGAAGGTTTTAAGGATTGCTTTCTTAGTTCTGATTTTTAACTTTTTGAATATGTAATGTGAATATATATTTAGCTTATAGTTTATAAATGCTGTATATATAGTGACCTATAGAGGAGCTGGTTTCCACATGCACATCCTCTACAAATGTTAATAACTCTTAGTCTCATCACAAAGTGAAAAACGCTAGTCACTAGCATGAATCTGAAGATTTTCTTCTTTGGGAAATGGTATCAGAATTATTAACTTAATATCAGAATATGAGACATTAAAATTGTTGTGATTTGTAATTAATGAGAAAGGAGCTCTATAGCAATTTGTCAAGAACATTTGAGCCAGTACCTTCCCACTTAATTGAAGATTTTATAAACATCATAAGGGCTTTTTTTTTCAGTGTTCCAAAATTTATTGTTTATGCACCATGCCCAGTGCTCCATGCAATACGTGCCCTCCTTAATACCGACCACCAGGCTCCCACCCTCCTCCCCTCCCAAATCCTCAGTTTGTTTCTCATAAGGGTATTTTATTTATTTATTTATTTTTTAATTTTATTTATTATTTGACAGAGAGAGATCACAAGTAGACAGAGAGGCAGGCAGAGAGAGAGAGAGAGGGAAGCAGGCTCCCTGCTGAGCAGAGAGCCCGATGTGGGACTCGATCCCAGGACCCTGAGATCATGACCTGAGCCGAAGGCAGCGGCTTAACCCACTGAGCCACCCAGGTGCCCTCATAAGGGTATTTTAAAGTGAATGGAACAATTGTTTTTAAAAGATTTATTTATTTATTTGAGAGAGAGTATGCACCCATGCAAGCAGGGCAAGGGGCAAAGGGAGAGGGAGAGGGAGAGAAGTAGATTCCCCACTGAGCACAGAGCCCTATGTGGGGCTCCATCCTATGACCCTTGAGATCATGATCTGAGCCCAAATCGAGAGTCCAATATTCAGTTGACTGAGCCACCCAGGCTCCCTGCTAATAGAACAATTTTTAATGATTGCCATATATGAAGAAAATATGTTTCTTACCTTGTGGCATTTATTTATAGAGTATCAGAAGGAGCTCCATATAACTATGAAAAAATATTAGTTTTATTAGATGACTGTTATTCTTGCAGCAAACTATTAAAAGGTGATTTGGAATGGGGAGAATATATGGAGAGAAAATATAGTTAGAAAATCTCCATATGCTTAAATGAAGAGAAAAACAACTATGTGTTGAAAAACCCTCCAATAACCTGTAGGAGAGACTGCAGTATAAAGAGCTGGCAACCGGGGCGCCTGGGTGGCTCAGTGGGTTAAAGCCTCTGCCTTCAGCTCAGATCATGATCCCAGGGTCCTGGGACCGAGCCCCCGCATTGGGCTCTCTGCTCAGCGGGGAGCCTGCTTCCTCCTCTCTCTGCCTGCCTCTCTGCCTACTTGTGATCTCTGTCTGTCAAATAAATAATAAATAAAATCTTAAAAAAAA